TCACCATTTGCACACAACTCTGTTTCAAACTCAGTCTCAACAATGTTCAAAAACATAAATTCTTTGGTCTATTTTAAATCTAATAATTGTAGATAAGAGAACCGCTGTGTCAGAACCTATATATTATTTATGGGGAACTCTTTTCTATTTCTTTCATTACTCTGGGTTCTGTCATAATGCTGAAGGGGAGGGGGGAAGACACTGTGGGCAGTCTCTTTGTTTCTATCGCTTCTATCATGTTTGCTCTTTGAACTGTCTCTCCCTTGATGTTACCTTGGGGTGAGAAAGGAATGTGCCTCCAGTCATCTGGCTTATCTCCCGTTTCAGAAGGGAAGGTGTGAAGAACCAACAACATCGCTGGGAGCCTGGGAAGGACCGGTGTTATCAGCTCCTTTCCCACAGCGGACTTAACATCTGAGGATTGGCCCATTCAAACTGACTGGGTGAATTATTGGGGTGGGGTTGCTTGGGACTCTTTTAACCTATTGATCTGAGCGGGAAACCCTCAGATCCTGCCTATCATGCCTGCTATCAGCTTCTCCTAATAAAAGTTCCTTTTGGAAGAAACTGTTACAACGAGTTCTGCTTTCTTAGGATGAGGTTTTGAAGTGGGCCCTGACACACTGACTACTATGTCCCTCTGCCATCAGTTGTTCTCTTGAATTTATCTTGTATTTCGTTTCACAGAATTCTACATGTCACAATAATAAAGCCATTTTTTTTGTTTATTATATTTCTCAACTATAAAATGCTTCTTGGCTGAGAACCACAGAGGTGTTTCTGGACACAACCCAAGTTTATTCCATATTCTCAATATGGCACATATAATAATTTTTAAAATCCACATTAATCTTGACTTTGTTGTATCATAAATATCCCCTTCTACCCAAAGCTTAGGTTGTATCCTCTTCACTCCAAACAAGTTCATCCAAACCAAACAACAAAATACAACTTCAAAATGGGTAAAGTTAATTGGGTAAACTCAATCATCCTCTTTCCTTTGCACTTTGTATCACTTTATATTTTCCCTCCTTCCAGACAAATTTAGACACATCCTTCTGCCATCGTTTAATCCTTTGTCTCTCATAGAGTTTTGTTATATCTCCATTAATAATGATTTGTGCTTCCTGTGAAGTGTAAACAATCTTATTCATTTTATTAAGTTCAAAATCTTCCAGAACTCTGAATAAGAAAGCCCAGTTCAAATGGTCAAAACCTTTTCTGCATCTGCTCCGAATATTCTAAATTATTGAACACATTTCTAAGGTTGTCCCTTGAGGTAAACATGCATGTTGATCCTCATGAATAAATCCTGGCAAAATTATTTTTAGTCTATCAGCTAAAATAGTTACAAATAACTTGCTGTCATTATTCAATAATATTGACCTATAGTTTCTTGTTAAAGTCACATTTCCCCCTTCTTTAGGTATTAGTGCTTTGTTGCTCTTTTTCCAACTCTCTGGCATCTTTCGTCCCTGTAAGGAAAGTTCATTATGTTTTATACATTTATAAATCCATTTGGTACAAGGACCTTTCCTAGTTTAATCTTTTTATAGCTTCAGAAATGTCAGTGTTTACCTCTGATCCTTTGTAATCTTTGATAAATTGTTTCTTTAGGTATTCATCTATTTTTCTCTAATGAGATGTCACTTTTTTAATATAAATTTGAGTAATATTAATGGATTTTTTTTTGTACAGCCGCATACTACAGTATCTCCCTCTGGTAATTGTGAATACCTTTTTCTTTTCTCTTTCTGTATTTTGTTAGCCACTTCCATGGTTTGCTTGTCAGTTCAGTTTTTTGCCTTACATAACTCATTTTTATTTCCATTGTTCTTACTTTTAACATAGTTAATTGCCATCGTAGAAGTTTGATTTATTGAGAAACAGCTTCTCTGGAGATTTTTTTTAGTTCCGCTTTTCTATTTCATTCAAAATAACTTGTTTTCATTTTTTTTACAGTTAAGTTCATTGTTATGTTATATAAAATAACCTCCAATAAAAGCTTTACCTTTATCCCAAACCTATTCTTACATCAGTACCTTTACCTTAATTATTTTTAAAAAAATTGTTTTCTTTTTACAAGCCTCCACTATTGCTTCTACTAGTGCAGGTAATCAATCCATCACAAAGCTGAAAGTTTTAAAAAATCAGTATGTGTAACACCTGGTTCAGTATCATCCCTTTCAGTTCCCTGTTGACTCAACCTTCTCATGAGGTTTCTATTTAGTCTTCTCTGACATCTACTGTATATTTGACTCTCCTCTGATTCCTCTTTGATTTTTTCTAGAAATTTCCTCACCTTCTGGATAGAATTTAGTCATAACCTCTTTTGTTTGAAAGTAAAAACCACTCTTAGTTCTCATCAGGATCCTTTTCTGCTTCAATCTCAGTCGAGATTTTTCTCTTATGTAAAATTCTAATAGGAATTTTTAAAGAATCGTATCTTTATTATTTATCTTCAATCTTGTATTGAAATATTGCTGAAGAACTTGATCCCATATCTTCTTCCTGACAAAGTCCACCGTGGAGCATCTCTTGTTCTTGCAAATTTACATATTTCATCCATTTCTGCATCAGTATCTTCCTCTTCCCAATCCAAATTTCTTTCCAAGGCTTTAATGATCTTTTCTCTAGCTTCTTCATCATAATCCTCTGGGCTTGCTCTAAATCTCAAATAAAATTCCTTCTCTCTCAATTCCAATTGAACTAGATTATTTATCTTTCCAGATATTTCTTCTACAGAGGTTTTCATTTTATTAACTTATTTAATCGCCTCTTTCATCTTTATAAGTCTTTCATCCATTTTTCCCCACAAAAGCCATAATAGAAGATTCTGGTGAGGATTTATGGTAAACTGGATGTCCCTGAAGGACTGGGGACAGCAATGCAGCAAAAACCTGCAACCAGATCAATAGAGATCAGCAGACACAGTTTTTCCGGATGAGATCTTGGGCTTACACTCTGACAGTTTCTCCTTTTCAGTAGATTACAGGAACTGAGGTTTTAGTTGTTGGCTCATGAGGGATTTCAACTACAGCCGTAATTGTAGCCAACTGTACAGTGTCTCGTTTCTTAACCACTTTGGGATATAATTAATTTAAAGCTAAAGAGAGACTTTCTAAGCAGCAAGATAAGATTCCATTTGGTGAGTTACAATTCTTTCCAGATTACAAAGAAATAAAGAAGAAGAAAATATTTTAAGAACTTATATTTTTGATAAAAAGCTTAATAAGTAGTCGATGTAAAAAAGTTTAAAACAAAGAAAGGGGACATTTATTTTGAAAGATTATTTTTGGGTGAAAGTGCTTTTGAACAAATTGGAATTAAATTAGACAAATGAACCAGACCTTCATGGGAATGTTTTTTGTTTATTATTAACGAGTGCAGACAATTGGCGAATTTTACAAAACAAAAAGATAAAGGTAATATGAGCCAGGCTGTGATGCTGATTGTAACTATGATGATATTGATTGTGATGCTGACTGTAACTATGGAGTGCCATTAGAGATGAAAATATTAAAGGCACAGGAAGACAAAAGAGAAAGAAAAGGAGAAGCTTGCCTTTTCGTTTCCCCTTGTTTAAGACACTTTCCTTTTTGGATTATAATATTATAATGACAACCAGAAAAGTGGTGAGAATGGAGGGGAGGAGAGCGTTGCTAGAGCTACCTATGGGGAAAAGAATCACAGCAGATTTGGTTCAGAAAATGGTCCAGGAATTGAGAAATAAATTAGCTGAATCACTTGATACTAAACTGACTAAATCACTTGAGAACAGAAATGACCTACTACTACATATATCAGCAAGCATGCAACATACAATTCATTCTTTTGCACATAAAAAAAGCTTCAGCTACAAAAAAAAAACCTCCTTTAGTGCATACATCTTTTTAAATCTTTGAGCATGTCCTTAATCAGATACACTTCACTGCTATAGAGTGATCAGCATCTTTACATAACTTCCCCATCTTGCCATCTCAAGAATCCTGCAGACAAGCCTTGTTAAGGACCAGCAGCAATGACAGGAGAATATGGAGGAAGGGAGCTCCAATTGCCTAGCACCAACTAAAAATATCAACCACTACTACGAGACTGATCTGTAAAATTACGCATTGTCTCATATAAAATGATCTTATCTTCTGCCTTCCCATTTCGGTATATACATTTTCTCATTTTCTCATAGTTTTCAAAACTGCTAACTAGAAGTCCAACTTCTATTTTTCTACCAGAAAAAGAAGAGAGCTTCAACAGCACCAGAGCTAAGGAGAAGGTAAATGACTATAAGCCAGTCATGAGTTGTTACTCATTCTAAGAAAGAAGGTTTCTACTTTGGTACCAATCCGTCCTTTCAATCCTCCTAAATCCTCTTCCAACCGAGAACACAGAACTGGGATGTTTTATCAGTTGCTAAGGAGGGAGAGAGAGAGACAGAAAACAGAGAAGAAAGAAACTTTTGCAGAGAAGGAGTGGGAAAGACATAGAAAAGCAGCCTCCAAGGTCGGTTGGGGGGGGGAGGGGGAAGGTTGTTTCAAAAGACAATACTGGAATGAGTTAGTTACCCATTTAAGCATCCTGAACACATTGCTTGGTAGTTACACGTGGCTGTGCAAAGCATTTGAAAGGGGGCTTTGAAAAAATGAGTGAATGATTCACCCTCAAAGCATGAAGTACGGTAGCTATCATGTCCAGACAGTTTAGTTTGGCTGTTCTGAGGGACAAACTTGACTGTTCACATTTTATGTATGCGCAGAAAGCCCATCTCATTCGACTGTCAGCCAGGCAAAGCAGCTGTGTATACACACACACACACCTGAGCACAAGAACCAGGAAAAGCCTTCAAAACAGCAGCACCTGGCCTGAAATTTCAGAGGGGATACAGCTGCTTTAAATGTTTCACTTGTGCCAATGCACCTTGCAAAGCCCCCTCCCGTTTCATGCTTTGCACAGTCCTAAATAGCTAGTAAACAGATCAAATATACGACTAGGTTGTTGGAAAAAAGGAGAAAAGAGAGGTCAGGGGAAACCAATTTTTCAGCCAGTCTTGTGGCTTCCATCACCAGTCCGAATTTTTCGAGCCAAGATGGTGTCCTTGGCCACTTTCTTGCAGTCACTGGCCAATCCAAGAAAGCACATAAGGTCAATAAAACTCGTAGTGACATTCCACCGCCAGCCATATTCACTTGTTGAGTAATCAAAGGGGAAAGTATGATGATAATTATGGAAGCCTTCCCCTAAAAAGAGAGAGAGAGAGATAAACAAGAAGAAAATGGTGAGAAACAAAGCCCATTTTCCCCTCCTTTCCCTAGGGGTAGCCTTTGGGAAGTAGCCGACTCTCTTTAGTGTTCCCATTCTTGGGACACAGGAAATGCGTTTATCTAAAACTGGAACATATTACAGCTTCCTGCATTGTGGTCCTTTATTTTATATTATTTATCCACAACATTTACTAGCCCCTCTTCATGATAAAATGCTGCTAAAGCCGGTGTGTGTGTGTGTGTTACATGGTTTACATCAGTGGTTCTCAACCTTTTTAATGCCGCGACCCCCAACCGGTCGTAAGTCGAGGACTAAACCGGTCATAAGTCGAGGACTAAACCGGTCGTAAGTCGAGGACTACCCAACCGGTCATAAGTTGAGGACTTTCCCTGCCCGGGAGCGCCGCACATGCGTGGTTCTGCCCCCTGCGCCAGCCGAGGCGTAGCTGGCAAGCGGCAGAGACGGAGCAGGCCGACCACCAGCTGGCCCAGCTCAAGGGAGGTAAGGCACCCGCCGGAAAAGGGGGAAAAAATGGCGGACAGCCTTGCTTGGCGACCCATAGGTTGAGAACCGCTGGTTTACATAAACCATATAAAAGAAAAGCAAAACAAAAGATGACAACAACCACACTACCAACTCATCCAAAACCCTGGGTGGGGCAAGGAAGATGGCGGTTTGTGTGAAGAGCTTACACCTCTGAGCAGGGAGGGAGTTTTTGCAATTTGAAAAATATTTCTCTTGTTTTCCTCGCAAGGAAGCAAACCCAAGGCAGCACCACCAAGAGGGCAGTGCTGAGATGGGAGCCAAGGGTTTTCTGATCTCCTTGTCACCATCTTGTGGCCTTCCTGAGATTTGCACCAGTGATCTGGTAGCCCTTTCCAGATCAGCGCTGGGTTTTACAGATCAGTTCAAGGACTTTGTGCTTGGCTTGGTAGCATATTCAAATTCCCTATTCTTCACTGTGTAGTAGTGGATACCCTTCTACTGCTGCATCTATTGTTGCCTTACTGCCACCATTAACTTTAACTAACTTTAATGAAGCATTAACGCAGATTTAAACAGCTCATATTTTATGCATAGCACCACAGCGCTAACTGGGTTAGACATGATTCATTTTCAGTCAGTTTTAAGTGGTGATTTACTATTGGAATAATGATTAGAACATAGAATCATAGGGCTGGAAGAGACCATCCTGGCCAAAGGTTAGTCCAGCCTATTCTTGAAAACTCCAGTGATTGACCACCCACAACTCCAGGAGGCAAGCTGTTCCACTGGTTAATTGTTCTGTCAGAAAATTTCTCCTTATTTCTAGATTGGATTTCTCTTTAGCAATCTTCCACCCATTACTTCTTGTCCTGCCCTCGTTGAAAGCAAGACTTCCATTGCTAGATTTACACGTTCACAACAAAACTTTGATAGGAAGTCTATGTTTCTTTCTTTTTTAAAAAAAATACAACCTTAGGAAACCTCTAGCCCAGGGGTAGGCAACCTTGGCTCTTTTATGACTCGTGGACTTCAACTCCCAGAATTCCTGAGCCAGCCATGCTGAGGGGAAAGGGAGAGGTTTCCATGCTGAGCCATGCTGGCTCAGGAATTCTGGGAGTTGAAGTCCACGAGTCATAAAAGAGCTAAGGTTGCCTACCCCTGTTCTAGCCCATAAATCTTCCTTTCCTTTGTTTTCCAGGGGCAAACTCCCCATTCCCCAACCCCAGATAAGTAACTGATGGTGGGGCAGGGAAGTGCTGTTATCTGAAAGCTTTCTAAAAGCCTCTATTTCTAGCAGTGGAGGCTGTTTTACAACCCAATTCCCCCAGTGGTTGTTGGGCCTGGATGTTACTGAGAAAAAAAGGAGCTATGTCTACCTTCTTTGGAAAACATCTCACATCACCCAAGGATCATGGTGGCACCAAAGACTGCTTGAAGGCCAGTTGCTGCACACCAGAAGGGAATTTTCAAAGGGGATGAGAGAGAGGAAAAGAGCTCTTGCTATGTTACCATCCCTGCTCTTCCCAATGCTTGAGAAAAAAAATTCCTGTCCAGTATTTTATTTTGGGTGGGGCAAAACCAATGTCTTAAATCTAGATAAGCTTTCTAAGACTCTCCTTTTAGCTTTTATAACCACCCCAACTTGAATGGGACCCATTTTTCTTGTTTCTTGCTGGAACACACTTAACCTACTTAAATCACTCATTTCACCATAGAAGCCAACCTGCTTGACTTCTGCCTTTTCCAAGGACGTGAAGTCCCGTGGCCAAGGCAAAATGCTGAACAGGAATGACTTGAAAAGGCTGTAAACGGAACAGCTGATCTTCTCCAAATTGTCATCCACCCATCCATCATATTAAAATAGGACTTTAATATATCCTCCACTGGAAGGATTCAGTTCTTTATTTCCAAGAACTGGGGGGGGGGGGGACATAATCTTTCTCTTGGTTCCTTTGGAAAAAGACTCTGCAGGTAAAAAATAGCCCTTGGCCACAATGGAGGGTCTTTTAAAAGCCCGCCACTACATGAGGAGAGAGAGGCTGAACTATCCAAGCAAGCAGGGAAAGGATTAGGTCAGTGGTGGCGAACCTATGGCACGCGTGCCAGAGGTGGCACTCAGAGCCCTCTATGGGCACACGCGCCATGCCCCGGAGATGGTAACCGTCCCTCTTCAATCAGCTGCCCACTAACTCGCCGAGGTCCCACATGGCCAGATGTATCTCAGCACCCATGCACTCGCTGGCCTGTGTGCAGGAGCTGATGGTGTCAGGCAGCAGCTGCCGCGGCCCCTGCCTCACCTTGCCCTGTGACAATGGCACCCCCGCCCTGCCTTGCCTCACCCCGCAGGACGAGCCTCCTGCCCACCGCCCCACCTGCCAGAGACCCACTGGATCTCCCCAAACCCTGCGCGGCCCCCACAGATGTCCCTCCCCACGAGCAACATTATTATTATTATTATTATTATTATTTATTGAATTTATATCCCGCCCTTCTCCTTGCGGACTCAGGGCGGCTGACAATCAATTTAAAAATACACCAAAAACAATTACAAAATTTAAAATTAGTTAAAAAGAAATATTTAAATGTTGTCTAATTAAAATATGATTAAAACCCCTCTAAAAATTACCCTAGGCCAGTCCCGCTTGTT